GAAAAAAGCAAGCAAGTTTTTCACTGTTTCGAACAGTAGAAAAAAAAAACCCTTCGTTCGAAAAAAAAGAAAAAAGGGAATGAAAAATCTATCATTTCAATTATCTTTCATATATTTTTTTCCTTGTTTCATTGCGCTTCATGTTAATTCGTGGATTGTTTTTAATTATTTCGATCTCTTGTTTTGGTATTTTAAATTTTTCTTTTTTGCCTTTTCCCTACCCTACCCTAAGCCCCATTACACCTTGTTTAAAGACCTCTTGATTATTGCATTATGTTTATTTTTAGTAGTGTAGACTTGATTGGATTCCAAGCCTATGGTAATATTTTGGTTAGTTTCGATTTGAGCGATTTCATTTACCCTAAACACTTTGAGCGGATATGTGTGGATCTTTGTGAGGTATTTTTTTTTTGAAATATGGATACTTTGTATTACGAATAATTGTAAAATACACCACCTCGAGGCCCACATTAAAAAACCTCACTATCCCTAAATGGAGAAAAAAGAGTGAACCAAGAGGTGGAAAGATCGAATACAGAATTAACAGTAACAACACACAAGGCATACCCCAAGACACAACCCAACTCAAACTAACACCAATACCAACCCTACAACAGAACAAATATAGAACGAGATGGACGATCATAAAACTGATCAACAGCGAACACAGCGACAATGGGAAGGAACCGAACACCAGTTGAAACCAATATCACCAAATCTGCTAACAACACTAACGAAACACCATGACTACATCAATCTTCAACCGAGCACACAAAACACATCATTCAAAATCTCCCCAACGCCAATAGATAAATTCAACAAAGAATCACTCCTCTACAAAGATAAAGACTTGATTATAACTTGAATTCGGCAAATGTCATGGACTTAGTTCGATTAGAAGTTTGAGGAATAAATTGAAATTAAAGATGACAACTTATGATTTTGATATGTTAATTGAGGAATGCTTGAGGAAAAGCATTAAATAAGTGAGGGTGAATTTGATAAGTGCTTAATTTAGTTAATATTTTACTTTTAAATTACTCCTTAATCATTGATTTTTGTGGCTTTTTTGTTCGTTTAATTCATTTTATGTGCAGAACATTAGATTCTGGAAATTGCACTAAAATGAATGCATTCTGCAATTTTTTTATTATTTGGTCACGGTTGGAGACATGGGCACGACTTTGGGCATGACACGGTCTGACGTGGTAGTTTCTAGAAGATCCAGTCAGTGTTTCTAGAAGCTCGAATGGATTGGCCGCACATTTCTGGAATTCAGATTTGAATTAAACTCAAGTTTAAGATAATATTTTAAACATTATATTTGATTTTTGTATTTTAGTTTAAATATCTTTTAGTATTTCAATTAGGATTTAGGATATTATTTAAATAATATTTTATTTTATCTTTGTTTTAGGTATTTTAGTTTAAATAGGTTTTAGTATTTCAATTAGGATTTAGGATATTATTTTAAATAGTATTTTATTTTATCTTTGTTTTAGGTATTTTAGTTTAAATTGTTTTAAGTGTTTTAATTAAGATTTAAGATATTATTTTAGGAATTATTTTTAGCTTGTATTTAGGAATTTGAAGGCTATAAATACCCTCCCAGGGTAAGCCTAAAAACATATCTCTCTCATTTGAGAATTAAATCTTCTTTTTCTGTCTAGCTTTCTCTCTATTTTTCGCATACTTTTCAATTATGCTAAGTATAACTTTAGTCATGCTTAGCTAAATTTCTTTTAAGCCGGAGGCTAAAGCGGAGCAATTCCAAGCGTGAGAATTGTAAGGTACTTAAATCGCTTCGGATTTTTCTCTTTGTTTTCTGAGTTTACTTTTTAAATCAAAACGATTTCGACATTGGTCTGGACGCTGTTATGGTTAACGTTTGAAGAAAGATTGGCTTATTGAAGCATGTTCGACTTCCCGAGAACACACTTAGCAAAATTATTTGCTAAGAGAAACTGAGATCGGAACCAGTTATTATTGAAACAACATAATCTGAGTCGACAACAAAGAATTGTCCTTGTAAGCCGACGTGAATCTTGAAGTAAAAATTTATTTCGATGATCTGAAGAATTTGAGACAAAGCTGAAGTCTCAGGCTGCTTACACTATAAGTTTCTCTTTTTCTCAATCTCTTTAAATTATTTATTTAATTATTTTCTTTTATTTTAAAAACAACTTTTAAAAACTCTTTTTTATCTTTACTACTATTATTTATTATTTTTTCCTTTTATTTATTATTATTTATTTTATTTTATTATACCTTTTCAACTTTACCTGGAATTCTATCTTTTCCTAAAATCAAGAAACAATTTTACTAAATCACAAAAACCATAGTCCCTGTAGATCGACCCTGCTTCTCTATACTACATTTTCCTTTCTATTTGTTAAGAAGTCGGAAATTATTTTGATAACAAAACGTGTACTTGTGTTTTTGTGCTGGGGTCTATATTGTTCAGTTCTGCTAGTTTTTTTCCGATTGTGGCGTGGTTTTTTGGTTGTGGGTTTGATTATGGTTTAATTCTCAGTTTGTTTCTGTTGTATTTGATCATAATCTTGGCCACTCTTTTTCCTCCAATAAAATTAGGGATCTTTTTTTAACGAGGTCCTGAGCATTGTCTTTATCTCTGTATGATTTATTATCGCATTATATCATATTGGGCACTCTTTTTTTAAAAAAAATGTCATGTCAAACTCCAATTTATCTTTGATTTGAATCTAATTTTCAATATGCGTGATGATGGTCATTGGTATATAATCAAGTCCATCGTCGGCAAATTTTACATTAATCTGACTTCATTCCCATTGCTTTCCCATAAAATTTCGTTATGCAAATTAAGTGATAGAGACATAAATTTTACATCAAGTTAATTTTGATATGATATAAATTTTACATATGATATGATTTAATATATGTGTCTTTTTTAATGAGTTTCTTAATTTCTACGGTTCCAAACTAGAAGTTCCCTTGTATAACTTATAATTCACTTCACTGCATTTCAATAATCTTTTTTAGATTAAAAAGTTATTGACACTAACTACACCAATGCAATAGGTTAAGTCTGGTTTCATGGACACCATTACATACATTGAAGTACCCACAAATGAAGATTAAGAAATTTTTTACATGCCTTCCTTATCCTTTCATATAGAAGAAATTTTCTTGACACTCAATCTAAAATAAATAGCAAGGGCTGTGCTCACCGCTTTAGGTCTATCCACATTAAACCTTTGAAGTACCTTTTTAATATACCTCTCATGCATTAGCCATGATTTCTTTATATTTCTATAACATGTTAACCTTCTGCCAATAATTGGCTTTGCATGGTCTATGTCCGTCATTATAAAAGACTTACTTAACTGTTGCTTTCACTTTTCAATTTTAGAAGCATTACAACCAATAATAAGCGTATCATCTATAGTAAAAGAATAATAAAATCATCACCAGAGAATATGATAGAAGTAGAATTCGTGTAGCCATCCTTCCCCGTAAAAGATTCAAACTTCTTATATTGTTTCTCGTTAGAGCTTGCTTCAAACTATACAAGTTCTTTTTCAACATGCACCGTAACACTCTAAATCTGGCTCGATCAGAATCTGGGTTGGAGGTGTCACATATGAAGATGAAACTTGACTTAATCTATTAGATCTTGAACCGGACATTCAAACATTGAATTAATCATTTCGTAATAATATAGGAACTAAATTGTAATACACATTAAACTTGAAGACTAAGATGCATTAAATAATTACCTAGAAGCCAAACAATTCATATTTTTCTGAAGAAGCAGGGGAGTATCTTATGACTACTAGAATGTATATATAAAAACCTTTGCACCAAGTAAAGAAACTTGATAATAGGTATCGAAACTTTGATGGTGATTCTGAATTTCTGATACTCTTATACACATTGGAATGAAAGTATCGAGACTTTGTCCCAGCTGAGACTCGTTGCAGCAAGCATAAAACACTAGACAAGAAAAACAAAACCTAGAAAGCATATGATACCGGGAATGGAAAGGGGTGCTGGATAGTCATACTTAATGAGAATTTTAAAATTTCGTATAATACATGAATGATTTAATTTTATAATTTTTAAAATTTTATAATCTCGTTGTCTACAATTTTTAATATAACATATTAAAAAATTGTGCTTCCGATGTAAACTTTTACATGGGTCTCTTACCATACTGAACAGAAGACTAAAACACCAGATCAGTAAGAGCATAATAAAGCTAGCATAACAATAGAAAACTCAAAACACCTAAAACCACCAAACGGCAGAAAACATGACACCCTTTCGTAAGAATTTAAATAGCGGTCCACTATCGGAATAACGGTTGTTATATAGTAATAAATGTATTGTTCGAAACTATTATTGCACGACAACGATACCTACAGTCAGGGTTTTAAAAAACGGTCTGCGACCGTAATATAGTAGTTTCGCCGCTGTTCGAGTTACCCGCGACGGCCGCAATCACGGTAAATCCGAAATAACCGAAAACGCGACCGCGACCGCGATTTGAAACCCTACCTACAATGATGCAATAGCACCTATTATATCCGCAATCATTATAAATGTTATGCAATAAAAAATACAACCGCAACTGTAATTTAAATCCATCACCTCTAGGGAATCTACAATGTCATTCACCCCAAGCAAACACCTTTAAATGAGCAACATTACCGATGTCTTGTATCTATCAACAGACAACAAACATGCTTCCGAAAACATCCTCATTCAAAACCCAAGACAAAGCGGTCATATACTCATATGATCTGCTTCAAAGACCAGGTTCAATTATCCTTTCAAAACAGAATTGTTAAACTTTTCAGGATCACGATTACCAACTTTAAAATAAAGACGTGGTTCGACCACATTTTATGATTCTCTTTTGAAATCACAGACTGTATCATATTTATTTATCCGATGACAAATTCAAAATTTTGTGATGAAAACTTGCCTTCTCAAAAGAAATAGCTAAGAAGGGGTCGTAAATACTAAAATTGGCCTAATTAATCTCCCCAGAGAGTGAATTCCTCGTAATCATCGGCATCATCTTGGGGATAGTACCCTTTTTGCATAGATGGTGGAGTTATCATCAACCCTTCCGCCATACTTTCAAGTATCCCTGGCATGTTAAACACCTCTTCTTCATCTATAAACAACGTCTTTGAACTTCGCCCTGCACCATTCTCCCAAGCTGATGAAGCTTTAGCATCACCAACATCATCGATAAAACCCTCAGCAGCCTCCATTGCGGCAATCTGAATATCCCTCACCGACGATGACCTAGCACGTGGCAATGTATAAGCAGACTCGGGAAAGTTTAAAGAAGCCGAGTCTCCTTTGAGTGCCAAAGCGGCTGCATCGTAGGCCTTAGCCGCCATGTATGGGCTCGAGAATGTCCCCAGCCATATTCGAGACTTCTTGTTTGGCTCTCTAACCTCACACACCCACTTGCCTTTTCGTCTTCTTACACCTTTGAATACTGGATGTCGAGTCTCTTTAAATATCTTCCTTCCAGCTTTTCGTTTATGGGATTGTGCTTCAACTTGCCCTAAGGAAGAACATGAAATTTCCAGGGTTTCTGAACTTAAAACTGGTTGCTCATCTTCCCTTTGTTCCATTGTTTTGAATACTGGCTTCTCAACTTGCCCTAAGGAAGAACATGTAACTTCCAGCTAGTGATGTGTGTTTTATATGAGAAGAATAACAAGTGGAAAAGGAATCAAAATTTGCATGGGAGAAATTAGTAAAGAATGGTTCAATGGAAGGATGAAAATGGAATTCGTGTTTCTACATGTAGGATTTTCGTTATTTTTTATTTTCCACGTCTCTTGGGAGAAACATCAATATGATTCACGTGGTCGAAATACTTGCCTTTTTTTTCTTTTTTCTTTTTCGTCTCGACATAACAAAAACATTTCTAATTGACGTGACTGACTTTTTACTCACTCTGACCATGTCAACATACCTGGATACGTTCGAAACACTACTACTTTTAATTTTATGAATCTTTCAAGTAACGTGATTTATCCATTTATATTTAGTTTAATATAAAATAAATATTTAAACTATATTTTTCATTATTTAGATACATAAATTATTTTTCGATCAATTTTGACGCTTAACGTTACAAATATTATTATTTGAAGTACTCTGAGTCGTTAAAAAATTTCATTAAATATCATGTGTCATAATAATTTAGAAGATTTTATTTAAAATTAAAAAATTTTAATATATATTTAAAAAAAATTAAAAATTCTAATTTTATTTTAAAGAAAACCTCAAACTTCCCATCGTTTTTCTAACATCTTAGGTTGCGCTTATTACCGCCATTTTTAGCCGCATCCTAACTCGCCGCGCATCATAAATTCCCGTAGCACGTAAATTTCAACTTTGAGCATCATTTAAGACAAACTTGAGAATGAAAACGTCGACCGATGAGAGAAAAAGCAACAACACACATCATCATGATCTCCTCGAGAATCGTAGAAACTCTGATACCATGTGAAAACTAGAAGAAACGCAGAAACATGAGCTTGACAGAATAGAAAGATGGAGAAACAAAAAGAAGAAGACAAACTAGGAATTTTGACAAAAGTCAACATTTGAGATTTTAGAATAAGAGTATTATAAGAATTGGACTTTCAATAATGACACAAACTAGGCCTTATATAGCAGTCCATACCATAACAGATCAACCACTTGGGCTAACTACATAACAGACTAACCATTTAATCAACCATTTAACAGACTGAGCTTTACAGTTTACAATACTCTTGATCTGAACAACCGTTTCATAAAGACAAACAAAAATAAACTCTTCAATAATATGCAAAAAGAAAGATATTAAAACGAAGAGGTTGTTTATTCAAATCTAAATAAAAAAACTAAATAAAAAGAAAATTAAAAGAAAAGGAAAGACGGCGACACTAGATCACAGCTTATAATCATACTTTGAAAGAAAAAGTAAAAAAGTTATTAATTGTTAGAAATAAATTAGGCAAAATCAACGAGATAATGCTCTCAAATTTTTTATTTCACGAAATAATGATCTCCCCAGATTAATTGCTCAAATGGGGTGATTTCCACAGTATTAGTCGTAGGTCGCCATGCCATCCGGGCGACCTACTACGTGGCCACTTCCAAACAAACACACATAGAGAATGAACGTGAATGAACGTGTTGCATGGCACATGCACATCCCAAGCACGTCCCAAGCATAGGTCGCCAAGTATTTCGGGCGACCTTGTAGGTCGCCATACAATCCTCTCCTCGCGTGTGATTCCTCTTGCAGCTGCTCATGAGAACCTATTCCTCCTACTCCTCGTGTGATTCCTCTTGCAGCTGCTCAGGAGACCTCATGCATGCAGCTGTAATAGCTGCATTATTGCAGCATGATTTGAGCTGCAAAGTGTTATAGCTTCGTGCCCTAGCTTCGAGCCATAACTGCTCCCTCGTGCCTTAGCTTCGAGACTGTCCCCTCTTGTTATCATAGCTGCATTGGTGCAGCGTAAAACCAGCTGCTGCATGCAGCAATTAGTGTTGTATTATTGCAGCGTTCAACCGTTGAAAAATTTACAGCCTTCAACGTGAATTATACAGCTCAAATTGATTGCAGCTTACCAACCATGCAAAGATCATTATATATTGGATATGAGGGGTTTAGGGTAGAATCATAAGAAAGAAAGAAAATTTGGCAAGAGAAAGGAAAGGAGAAGAAGAAGAAGAAGAAAGGGAGATAAAGGCTCAAACATCGTTCGTGAGATAATTTTTAATTGTTTAATTTAGTTTATTAATATGAAATAAGTAGTTTGTTAGTTTAGGGTTTAGGGTAAAACAGAAATTTAGTTAATTAGTTTGTTAGTATAAATTATTAGTTTGTTAGTTTAAGTTATATTATATTAATTTGTTAGTTTAAGTTATATATTAGATTATATAAAAAATTAGTTAATTAGTTTCTTAGTTTAAGTTATTAAATGTAAAAAAAATATTTAATTAATTTGTTAGTGTGTTTAAACGTATATTAAGTTGTTTGTTGAAGTTTAAGTTAAAATATTAAAAAAGTTAATTAGTGCTTAATTAGTTTGTTAGTTTGTTATTTTAACTAAATTATATTATAATAAAGAAATAGTTTATTAGTTTAAGTTATATTATAATATATTAGATTATATAAATTTAATTTGTTTAATTTATTTTTGTTTAAAGAAATAATTTTTTACACGTACATGTCATTATTCCACAACATTTTCCCACGAACATATTTATTCCCGTTTAAAAAAATATTGTGTTTAAAAATATTTAGTGTTTATTTTATACTAGATTATATAAAATTAATTTGTTTAATTTATTATAGTTTAAAAAATATTGTGTTTAAAAATATTTAGTGTTGTTTTAAAAAGAATATTTTGTTTAATTTATATTAGATTATATAATCTTAAATTCTATAAAAATTATTAACAAATTTGTTTGATATTTAAAAAAATAAAAATATTATCAAACTAATCATTATTATTAGTAATCATTATTAAATGATTTATGAAATTATCTTATCTAATTTTGCAATCTAAATTTATTTATTTTTTTATTTGTAGAGAAAATGAGCAACAGCTTTTTCACGATTGTCCATTATAATGGACAGATTATGGAAAATGAGGTCGGAGTAGTTTTTCAGTCTGAAAACCCAATAAATATGATGTTAAAAAAAGACATCACATTTATAGAAATGAAGCATAAGATAGAAAGAAAAATTTGAGCTGCAGTTGATGGTTTGAGGTATAGGTTTATGATATGCCCCAACCCAGTCAGATATGCTGCAGTTCTACTTGAAGAAGATGATGATATTGGAACCATGGTTGGATTACATGAGTCAACCAATATAGCAGTTATTGAGTTATTTGTTGATGTGCGTAACATATGATGTTCATGGGTCATCAAGAGATGTGTCTCAAAATCCATCTGAAACGGCTTTATATAGTCAGTTTGAGGAGCCGACATACATGTTCCCAAACAGTTTTATGACACTATTGGAAAGTGTAAATGAAGTTGGAGGGACATCTGCAGCAGCAGAGTATGAGATGAGAAACATACCGGAATTGGCTGTTGATATTGATGCTGAAAATTGATTGGGAGAAATTCATGATGATTCAAGCGAAGATGAAGAAACCGAAGAATCCGTTTTGGGCAACGATGAAAATATTTTCGGTAGAGGTGCAATTGATAAAGTTCCGGCACCGTATGAAGCTACTCCTCACATGTACGAGATAGACTATGATGCGATAAGGGCACTTGAATTCCCAGACATGCCACATTTACCTCCGTACCAAATGACTGAATCATTCGATAATTCTGGTGAATTTTCAGTTGGGGTGCAATTCAGAGGAAAAATGAAGCTACCCTGACGATTTAATAATGATTTTAATATTTAATGATTTGATGATTTAGTAATGATTTGATAATAATCATTATAATAATAATTTAGTAATAATCATTATAATAATGATTTAATAATAATCATTATAATAATGATTTAATAATAATGATTTAATAATGATTTTATAATAATGATTTAATAATTATTACTAATAATTATGGAATAATAACAAATGAGTGTACAAGTGTGGACTAATCGAATTTAAATTTATACATATTCGAATTTATTAATGATTTTTAAATATTTAATGATTTAATACTAATGATTTAGTAATTATTATTAATAATGATTTATTATTAATATTTAATTATTTGATATTAATGATTTACTAATGATTACTAGTAATGAAATTATAATAATGATTTGATACTAAAAATCATTGTTAAGGTTAAAAAAGCTAGTCTAATTTCAATATATAATTTATAACAAATAGCAAACGAGTTTACAATTGTTGTCGATGTCGGGGTGTCATTGAATGATAATGTCGGGGCGGACGTCTGATACGTTGTGGTCGTTGCGGTTGCTCAGGAGTATGATACCCATCCTCCTAATTCATTGGGGGCATTTGAACTGTCATGTGTTCAAAGTCATACGTCGACAAAAACATAGGAGAATAAATGGGTGCCTCAGGCTGCACAAACTCTGGTATGTATGTCAGGATAGTAGAATCATCAATTGCGTGATGCAACGATCCCGCATCGCCGAACGGTTGTGGTGCGCTATTATCCACATCGGTCATTTCCGCTTCAGGTTGTTGAGATAAACTCCCACTCCCACTAGGTAGAGAGTATTCAGCTTTACCAAATCTTTTCTTAAACTTCAAAAATTATCGCCTCTCTACCATTGTTGTGAGGAATGACTTTCCATTATCCCAAAAATAAGCAAGGTAAGCCGAAGTCTCAAAATTAAAGTCGTCATCTTGGATATCGTCAAGAGTTGGCATGAATGAAGCCCTATTGTTCCAAACATTAATGTAGGTTGCATGCTTCTCAACCCAATTAACATTTTCTTTACGACGACCATCAAATCTGTGCAGGTCGTCATGCATCTCAACCCAATTCACCTGACGACGACCATCTAAGTTTTGGAGGAGGTCATGATCCCATGGACTCCGCGGAATAGGTTGGTGGAAGTGGAATTGCCTCAGCACTCTATCCCCAAATTGGATATCAACAAAAGCAAAATTTATCA